TAACCAAAGAATAATATAAATGTTAAGCACGTAATTACTACTAGATACTCATGCCTAGATACTTACCATCTGCATCGTTGAACACAACCAGCGGGCTTTTGCCACCGAGTTCTAAAGTAACTCGCTTCAAGTTTGCAACCGAAGCAGCTCCCAGTATCATTCTGCCTACCTACGAATATACATTTAAGTTAAATAATAGGTAACTCTAAATACTTTAGTAGAAGACAATTATTTCTTATGACAAATTACTAAATACCTCAGTGGAGCCAGTAAAGGCGACTTTATCGACATCTGGATGATGCGTTATTGCCGCACCAGCTGTGGGCCCGTAACCTGGCAGCACATTTACAACTCCTGGAGGAAAACCAGCCTCCTTGATCAAAGCTGCCACTGCTAGAGCGGTGAGGGGCGTTTGTTCCGCTGGCTTTAACACTATAGTACAACCTATAAAGACAAAAATTAGGATTTTAGTTATTTTCATTATTTTTAAAGTGTTTCCGAAAACGGATGGTAAATTGCATATTAATTCCGGTGATTTATCTGGCTTCTTTGTATGTCCTATATTAAGATTTTAAAGTTAAATAAATGCTGAAGATACCTGCGGCTAGCGCTGGGGATATTTTCCATGACATCATAGGAATGGGATAGTTCCATGGTATGATTTGTCCGCACACGCCCACTGGTTCCTTGAGGGTCATTGATAAAACTTCACCGTCTGCAATGTAATACAAAACAAGTTTTCTATAAGTAGTTATCTATTGCATTTTTTTAAAGATCCTGTTATCCGTCCATCATGATTTTTGTGCAATTTAAAAAAAAATAATAATATAGTTATCTATCTTCTATATACAAATAATAAAGTTGGAGTGTCTGTTTGTAATATCAAAAGAAAAAGTCCAGATTTAGGGATAATGATGTATTCACGTTGCTGATAACGAAAATCGTATTTTTTTTGTTTGTCTGTCTATCTGTTTGTGCGCAAGCCGCGTTTGTTCCGGTTAATTGCCGAAACGACTGAGCGAGTTTTAACCGAACTTCCACTGGAGGGTAGCTGACGTTGACGGGCATATTATAGACTATTTTTTTATCTCAATTGCGTGGACGAAGTCGCGGGCAACAGCTAGTACTTATTACGTACGCACTATTGTTTTCTAAATAAACAATGTTTTCGATTGGTCACAATTAAATGTCTAATTATTATAATCATAATACTGAGAAATAATAAAACAACATTACCCTAATTGATGCTTTCACGCCATCAATAGAATGATGAAGCGTGATCATTGTGTTTGCATAGTGCACGATACATAGTAGGTATGTAATGTATTATCACGCTAAATTATTCTGGAGATAGCATGATTTCTTATTACTTATATAATTGTGCGATAACAATGCCGTTGTTGTTTTATAAATCGAATTAAACAACATGTTATTATGAATGTTTTGACAGTGAGAATTCACTGTCGTACACTTTAAAAAATAAAAATACCTGCAGGGATTGTGTTGCCTAAAATTTTATCCGCTTTCCCAGCGTAGTATCTAAGTACGCTTGCCGAGAAGTAGACTTCCCCTTCCGCTACCTTGACGGGCTTTCCACAGTCTAGTGTTTCAAGCTCCGCCAAGTATCTCGCTTGTGACTCCATGAGGTCGGCAAGTTTTAACATAAGAAGTCCTCGTTGCGACGCATCCATGGTCCGCCATTCTGAATATCGGTGGAACGCTTTTTTAGCTGCAGCTACCGCTAGATCGACGTCAGTCTGCGTTAAGTAATAAATGTTATTGTCATCAACACCAATACTGATTATATCGTGTAGGAAATAAAAAAAACACATATTTATAGAACATCCTTATAAGATAAGATTAAGATTAGATAACATTCAGAGACGTAAAAAAACGGTAATTATTTGGAATATTAAAAGGTATGGGTTTAAATATTGGGCCGTCGACAAATTGGCGGTAATAATATTTCCATTAGTAAAACATAAGAAGACGAAAAATATCGTTTGGATATTCTTGTGGTGATAGCCTACAAGGTCACCGATGGAACATTTTAATTTATCATTCTAGCGTAATACCGTCGACGGCAATTTCAATATTATACGTACGTATCAACATGAGAGTTGATTCTGATGACGTCATATCAGTGTATTAGTAGAATAAAAATTAAAAGGTAGGAATAGAGTGGTGCCTAGAAAATACAGTATTTAAAAGTATATTTACATTTAAAAAATAATTACCTTGTCGGCTTCAGCAACTTGTACGATGACAGTTTCATTTTGAGGGTTGATTGTTGGGAATGTCTTCTTACTTACTGCGTCCACCCATTCATTGTTGATAAACAACTGTTGAATAATAAACGATGGATTTTAAGACTTGACTTTAAGATAAGATAATAAAAAAAAACGTGGACTTCAAGTACACTGTAAAAATCTATTATAATGTTTGAAGTTAATCCTTAGAAGTCAAAGAAATGTACGAAAATCCAACATTTCTTCACATACAGTATATTATAACATTCTTACAAATAAACGCGGTATAAAGTTAAACTTAGTAATAAACTAAGTATAAGCAAAATTTGTACTAACATTAGTTTATACTTAATTTATTTGTAAGGCTGTATAAGTTTATGTTTACAACCTAATTTAAGTCGAAAATGGAAAAATATTTGGGTCACGTTTTTAAAAAATGTCTAATAATAATGTTAATATATACTAGTATTATAAAGTGGCAAGTATGTATTATGTATATACGTTAAAACTACTGGATCGATTATTCAAACTATAAAAAAAGATATAAAGAAAGATGCAGTTCACATTATGATGTTTTTTTTATATTTAAATAGCTTACTTGTCAGCTATTTTAATTAATCACAGAAAATAACAAGTCTGGCAACTTTTCAACGTAGCGCATTTTTTTTTGTAGCTATGTAGGTAAACGGAAATATTTCTCAAACACTATTTTTACATATTGTTATAGAAATTGAACATTTAGAAAGTATCTTCCAATACCTACTTTGATCATCGTATGTTATAAACATCTTACCACTTAAATTGTGCTAAAACTTATTAGAAATTTCTTTGTCGAATTTTACATGTAACAAGTAACAAGATATCAAACCGTTTATTCAAGCAAAAATGTATACTCATACCTTCGTGTATTTTACGTCCACTTTAACCATTTTTAACTAGATTTATAAACTTTAAACGATAACTATCGTAACAGCTGATATAATAACACCGGCCGGTAGACTAGTGAAATCTGACACATTATAAAGATTGCTGTAAACCGCATCGCGCATCGTGCTGCGCAAGTTGCCATATGAAAAGAAATTTCCCATACTTATGGCAAACCTAAGTTTCTTGTTTTTTTAATCATGTCTTTGTTATTTACAAGATTTAGTAAAAGTATATTAAAGACAATTTTCATCATTCGCCAGTGAAATATATTATACCTTGGTGATCTTCTGCCGTATCCTCTGTATGCTATCCGCTACCCTTCTGTCCCATTCTCTTATAAAGCCTATGTTAATATTTACCTTCTTTCTTTATTTCTTTTTGTAATTTACAAATACACATGATTTTTAATTTTAATTTTTTAACATATGTGTACTAAAAATTTTAATGTGTTTTATTAATTTGATACATAAATTCTTATAACTAATTTCAACGATTTCGTAGGTTTCTTCTAGAATGTATTTTGAAAATCCGTTTAATAGTATAATGTAAGCAAAAGACTGGGGAATTTTTCAAAAGAGTATTATATAACAGAGAACTTTATCGAAAAATTCTTATTAAATAATTAACTGATGAAATATGATTTTGTAGTGCTTAGGAAATTTTTATCTTTTCTTATGGCAACTGCACTGACCTTGGAATGGATGTTATTTTATTCTACGGAATTATCTGGGAAAGGTGACCGATAGACATTAAATTTTTGATTGAAAGATACGATCTCATTGTCACAAGAAAATTATCAACATATTTAATTCACATTAGGAAAATTAACTGTAATAATTTTACTTATATATGGTTCCTTTTGTCCTGTTCTAATCTCGTTTAGACACTAATAGCAAATCGTAGTATAATTGCAATTGCTAATCACTTCTCACAGTATAAATAAAGTTTAATTAGTCAGTCCTTTACATTATTTACCAAAATCTTTGAGTCCTTATTTTATTTAAATTATTATCTCTGAGGTGCTGCTTAAAACTGATAATTTTAATTAACTGCTGAAAGTGAGAATCAAACACTATTGTATTTGTCGGATAAAAAAGTAAAATATATTTTATTCAAAACAGAAAGATTTCATCAATAAAGTTTTATCATATTGTCATTTTACAGCAAAGGCTTCTTAGGTACGTTCATAGTAACAGTCTTGTTCTCTAAATATTGCAGGATGCCATCCTCGCCCCTGAAAACATTACAGTAATGTTAATAATTAGACAAGTCAAGAATAGATCTGTCTAATACTGTTAGTTTACAACGTGGCATAATTTGTCTTATCAAGTTCCTAAAATAAACTTACAGTTCACGGCCAATGCCAGACTCTCTGAACCCACCGAACGGAGTTTGTGGCGCCACGTGTTCATATGTGTTGATCCTTAAAGGAAAATTTAAATTAATGTTATATTATATAACGGTAAGCCAAAACAATAAGGTTATAACATAATCTCTAGATTTATAATTATCTGGAGTTATTTTGGTGTTACGAATGAATATAGACGTCACCGTCAGTGAACACCTTAACAATAAGGAGTCTGTATTACATTTACATAACCGCTTTAAAAAATAGTAGTGTTAATGTTTTTTTAATGGTGATATTTATGTTCACTTCGAAATTACGAAAACAAACTATCAAAGAGTACGAAAACATAACTTACCAAACACTACCAGCACGGACGTGTTTAGCGAAAGCCATAGCTGTGGTAAAATCTTTAGTGACGACACCAGCTCCGAGACCATAGTTAGAGTCATTGGCGCGGTCCACAACTTCTTCAAATGTCTCGAACTTCAGGATGCTCTGGACTGGACCGAAGATCTGATAAATATAAAAAAAATTACGATTCTATGTTTTCTATAGATTACAACTAGATTACAGGTATTACCAATCTATTTTTCAAAAAGTGCATTAGGTCCCCCAAACGGAATTGGCAGATTTTCACGAGGTTCTTTTTATAAATAGAATTCCTTTTTTAATTAACGGACTCTCATTCCATATGATTAATGTAATACTGGTATCATATCTATCTTTGCTGTGGAAGGTTTTGAGTGAGCTTACTTCTTCCCTAGCGATCTTCATGTCGTCCTTGACGTCGGCGAAAACAGTGGGTTCGATAAAGAATCCCACATTTCCTTGCCGCTTGCCGCCTGCGATGCAGCGCGCACCGGACTCCTTGCCCACTTCTATGTAGCCCATCACTTTGTTAAACATGTCCGAGTCGATCTAATACAGAAATATATTAATAGGCAGTATTTTATTACATTATTGAATATTTTAAAATCACTATATCTCGGTAGAAACACGGCCCAGTTCTGAATGAAAGAACCCGCCTAAATTACATTTTTAGACGGGCTTGTACACTACACGATAGTTTTCTGCAGAATTAATATTAACATGCAGTTAAGACTAAAATATTGTAGTGCTAACATTAAGAAACGGTCGTATACATGCAAATGTTATCACGTAATTATATTATATCCTAGCGAAGCTTAGTACATCACGTAACAAATAAATAGTAAGATAGAAGAAGACATATGGTTGGTCATCATTACGCATGCTGAATACAAATTTGGGCATACTGTAGGATTAGAAGAGGTATATGTATAGTTACTTGTGGTCCTTGTTGTACGTCTTCGTAAGGGTTACCGACAGTTCTGTTCTTTGCTATTTCTGCTGCTTTTGCAATGAACTTATCGTAGATGCCAGACTGTACATAAGTCCTAGTGCCCGCAACACAGCATTGTCCGGCATTAGCGAAAGCAGCGCGATGGGCAATTTGAGCGGCAGTGTCCACTGTTTTGATAATTAACAGGCGTTTTTATTTGTTTTATTTACTTTTTGATTTATAAGCTTGAGTATACTAACCGTCAGCGTCATTGAAAACGACTAAGGGGCTCTTTCCACCGAGCTCAAGAGTTATTCTCTTTAAATTCGTTGCTGCAGCATTGTTCATTATTATACGTCCGACCTGTAAAATGTAAATAATTAACATGTAATACATATATGCCCCTTAAATTGTATATTACATTGTTTTATATAAAAAGATATCTATTTGTGATGGAAAATTCAAGAATTATCGAAAGTTTTAAAGTTATCAACAATATTTTGGCATATCATTGAATTATTGCTTGTTTTGAGTGGCAGGTTACGCATACATGATAGTATTATCGAATTTTCTCATTATAAAACGGTGTAAAATACGATTACCACACCTAAAAAAAACTCATACGATAACGCGAAGAAATGATTGAATAATTTTAAAGACATTTAAAATTACGATACGACTTTTACCGTGCCATTCCTCTGCCGAAATACATGCTCGTACATGTTGTTATCCTGTGTTGTTTTGAAGAGGATAAGAGGGACGATATATTTTCAGAGGTTTTTTCGATGATGAAAACCGATTTACAAACTATCGAGTAAGGTAGAGAAATCTGTTGAACACAGCGTATAAAAGCAATCAAGTGTTGATACTATGAATGTTACCTCAGTAGACCCCGTAAAGGCAATTTTGTCAACACGAGGGTGGTTCGTCAAAGCCGCGCCTGCGGTCGGTCCATACCCAGGAATGACGTTGACGACACCGGGAGGGAAGCCCACTTCTTTGATGAGAGCCGCGACAGCCAGAGCAGTGAGTGGGGTTTGTTCAGCTGGCTTCACAATCACCGTGCAACCTATGTAAAAGACATAAAAATCACCAAAAAAGCTCAGGTATTAAATTTGGGTTTGCTAAAATGATCAGACTATGATCTTGGCTATTTTTTAAAATGTAAAATTTGGTAAGGTATAAGTTTACAAACCTGCCGCTAATGCTGGTGCTATCTTCCAAACGAACATGGGAATGGGGTAGTTCCATGGTAAAATCTGTCCGCACACTCCCACTGGCTCTTTTAGTGTAAAAGTTACAACTTCTCCATCTAAAACATACTAACTGTTATGAGGTATTTCATAATAAAAAAGTCGTTAAGTGAAACAGGGTTATACTTGATCTTTAAGTTAACATACCGGCAGGGATAGTGTTCCCTAAGATCTTATCAGCTTTCCCTGCGTAATATCTGATGATGTTCGCTGACCACAGCACCTCTCCTTCCGCTTGCCTGACCGGTTTCCCGCAGTCTAAAGTTTCCAACTCAGCCAAGTACTTGAAGTCTCTATCGAGCAGGTCGGCTAGTTTCAGAAGTAACCGGCCTCTTTGTGAGGCGTCCATTGTACGCCATTCCGAGTACCGATGGAATGCTTTGCTGGCTGCTTCTACTGCCAAATCTACATCAGCCTGACATACAATTTTGTTACATTAATTTTAAAAAACCTTTGAGAATAAACTCCAATGAAAGTCCTTGTTCGTTTTCAAAGTGTTGCATTTTAAATCAGTGCATATGTTATGAAAAATTTAATTACTATTGCTATGAACACATTACCTTATCACCCTCAGCAACTTGAACGATGACGGTCTCATCCTGTGGGTTAATAGTTGGGAATGTTTTCTTGCTCACCGCGTCCACCCATTCGTTGTTGATGAACAACTAAAACGATAATAATTATATAGTAACAAATCGAAAATTTGACGCGTACATAAAGATATATGTGAATTCAACCAACTCGCATTTGGCTAGCGTTGACTAAGGCCTTGTCACCCTGACTTAGAGTAGGCTTCGAGCCACTGAGTGGGGACATTTAGTGAGCTGGTGATGATTTTTTTTTTTATAATACAAGGTGGCAAACGAGCCAGCGGCCCCCTGAATCCACCGAAATGGAAAGCGACCGCTGCCCATAAACATCCGCAATTGCAGATGCGTTGCCTACCCTAATTGACGGAGGAGGAGACGCACATAAAGAGGACATTTCCCCTTCCTATGCGTCTCCTCCACCGTCAATTCCACTTTTCCCTCCCATCCTTTCCCCTTAAGAAAAGGGTGGAAAGGAAAAGGGACTAGAATTAGGCCTCCGGCACCACACTCATCAGACGAAACGCGGAATTGCTTACACTTCACGCCTGTTTTCTGTGTGGTCGTGGTATTACACCGGGCGAGCAGGCCCATTCGTGCGAAGATGTTAACGCAGGCTCTACCACTGTTAAGTCACTTATAGACAAGTCACTTATAGTTATTTGCATAATCGTTGTATAAAGATTTAATTTTCCCCTGCGATAGTGGAATTATTAGTTTTTAAATTAACTATTGGTTAATAAAATTTATGTCCTTGATATAAGGTTAACATACGAAACTGTCGGCACCGCATAAGGTTTATTGCGTTTACGTTGGAACAATACAGTATTAGCGATTGTTAAACTGTAAGTATTCGTGTACACAATTGCTGTTTGGCATTACTAGAGAATCAGTGGAATAAAGGATCGAGTAAATACTTCCAATGAATAGAAGTTCAGTTTTCGATAATATCTGTTTCAATCGCTTGTATTTTTCGACCAAAATTTGTAAAGTTAAAAACACATACTTATTTAGTAAAGTAAATTTTAAAAATAAATTTGTCACGAGCAACAAACAATAGATATATGATAATCGATACGCTGATATTCTTTGCCTTGAACCCGGTTAGTTTTTCACCGATATAAGTTCTTATTACAATATAAACTGTAACAAACTTTATTTACATTCTGATTTATATCAACGTAGAGAATGTTTTAATATTGTATTTAAAGAATTACCGATTCTATTGAACGATTCGCGATAATGCCTATGAATAGTTTAAAAACGTGTCGTACAAGGAAATGTTTACACGTATGGTTATGTAACATAAATGTATCCGTTTATGTAGTTTGTATTGGTCATTTCTGTACATATTACCAGTTAGAGATAATGTAAATATATGTGTTTGGTTTTCCAATTTAAAAAATGTAAATATATAACCAGTATAACTGACATCCTCTTCAGTTTTAATAGTTTATTGATTTAAAATAATAAAAATGTAAATAAAACAGCTTTAAATAATTTGTTTCCTAGAAATTAAGAGCTTTTAGTAAAAAAAAAAATTTTTTTGATGACAAAATCTATGCCAGTATTTAAAAAAATAAGCTATTTACATAATTGTTTTGTAGAGGAAAATAAACATCAATTTAAATTGTACCTTGGTGTATTTGATGTCCACTTTCGCCATTTTTAATCCAGTAGTATGGACGCGAGTTCACAGCGACGAGAACCGATTCAAAGTGATGCTATGGTACTCAAATGTATGAATAGTCTGTGTTCAATATACGTTGTTGTTCGCGGGCAAGCGGCAAGTCTGGTCGGCGACATCCGATCTATTTATGGCCGCATGTTTATTTCAATGAGCGGAGAATATATTGACTAAATTCAACGTGCCGCGTTTATCAGAGCTAGATAAAAGCCATATCTAAAAGATATGTCAATTTTTATAGCTATTTACATACCATGGTTATGTAGATGATATTAGTAAAATACTTATCTCAAACTTCAATCACCTACATTGCTTAATGACGTTTTAGTAAATTAGATTATCTTAAAAAATGATAGACTACTAGTTTTCATTATCTTTACTTCCAAAGTATGGCAGTTACCATCCTATTATTCAGACTTGCTATCAATAAAAGGTATTTTCATGTTTACATAATGTTTTTTGCCGGCCGGTATTTTATACTATAGTTTTTACATGCATTACTTGATTTAGCATAATTTAATTTGCATTTTTATAAACTACAACATTTAGTGTTTGCACATATCTATATTGAAACTTTATTCATTGCCAGTCTTCGTATTATGAAAAATTAAATTTCTATTACATTTTATATGCGATTAAGAAAGATTTTAGGTCAGATTTAAAAATATCGATTAAAAATAAATACACCATGATTACACACGTATTGTATAATAGCTTAATATGCAAATACAAAAAAAGAAAAGTTTTAAACTATGTACAGATACATGTTTATTTTAAAGGCAAGGCTTCTTAGGCATGTTCATAGTGACAGTCTTGTTCTCTAAGTATTGCATAATACCGTCCTCGCCCCTGAAAGCAGTAAAATACCCATTAGATTTAAATGCCACTTAAGTATGTAAATAAAGACGAATCTTTAAAGTTGTACTTACAGTTCTCTGCCAATCCCAGACTCTTTGAATCCGCCGAACGGAGTTTGTGGTGTCACGTGTTCATAAGTATTGATCCTATAAAGAAAACAATATTAAAATATGTAACGTAGAAAAGAATCAACTGATTTTCTTCACTCCTTTAAATATATGTGTAATATTTGTCCGTTTTATAATAATGTAATTTGTGTAAATCTCGTAAAATACCAGAATAGCCAGATGAAACTTGTATGAAAACCATTAAGCGATTTCATGTTGTTTTTATCAAAGACTTGGGAGTACTTTACTGGTTTTGTTCCGTAGTTTGCTTTTAAGTCAAAGAGTAATGCATTTACCACACAGTGCCAGCACGAACGAGCTTAGCAAAGGCCATGGCGGTAGTGAAATCCTTGGAGACAACACCAGCACCGAGGCCGTAGTTAGTGTTGTTGGCGCGGTCCACTGCCTCTTCAAACGTCTCGAACTTCAAGATGCTCTGAACTGGACCAAAGATCTGGTGGACATAATATTGGTTTTTTACAAATCATGCAATCTGCTATCCTTGGTGTTGAGACATATACTCGTGTGTGTCAATAAATCGTTGCTGTTTTCCTTAGCATTTTCTATTAATCTTCGTGATATAAATATGGAAATCACATTGTACCGAATAGTTTGCTACCTCTATTTTAACTTACCTCCTCTCTCGCAATTTTCATGTCATCCTTAACGTCGGCAAAGACGGTAGGTTCAATGAAGTAGCCAACGTTACCTCGGCGCTTGCCGCCCGCGATGCAGCGCGCACCCGCCTTCTTACCCGCGTCGATGTAGCCCATTACTTTGTTAAACATGTCAGAGTCCACCTAATCGAAGTAAATATATTTATAACAGCAATTTCAAAGCTTTAAATGCGGATCATCAGTACATAAACATAATGTGGAAAATATTATTACTTGTGGTCCTTGTTGTACGTCTTCATAAGGGTTGCCGACTGTTCTGTTCTTTGCTATCTCCGCTGCTTTTGCAACGAACTTATCATAGATGCCGGACTGTACATAAGTACGTGTACCCGCAGCGCAACATTGACCAGCGTTAGCGAACGCAGCGCGGTGGGCGATTTGAGCGGCAGTGTCCACTGAATACAATAATAAAAAAATACGTTTGAACTTATTTTTTTATATCAATAGAACAATATATTCAATTATACCAACCATCAGCGTCATTGAAAATGACCAAGGGACTTTTTCCGCCGAGCTCAAGAGTTATTCTCTTCAAATTCGTTACTGCGGCATTGTTCATTATAATACGTCCGACCTGTTAAACATATTAATTATCTTTATATTTGTGTTTAACCACTAGTATAAAAGGTACTGAGAGAGTATGTTAATTTATAAATTAATGGAAGACATATTTTGAACAATTCTATTAATTTAATTTATCAATATGGATAATTAAATATTTCCTTATAAGGTCTGTTATCAGTCACCTCAGTAGAGCCGGTGAAAGCTATTTTGTCAACACGTGGATGGGTGGTCAACGCCGCGCCTGCGGTTGGCCCGTACCCAGGGATGACGTTGACGACGCCAGGTGGGATACCAACTTCTTTGATAAGAGCTGCCATAGCAAGCGCAGTGAGAGGGGTTTGTTCAGCTGGTTTTACAATTACTGTGCAACCTGCAACATACGTTACAAGGGTTGAATTTATTCTTAAAGAACCCAACAGTGATATCAAGTAATTTAACGAACCTGCAGCTAAGGCCGGAGCAATCTTCCACACAAACATTGGGATTGGATAGTTCCATGGCAAGATCTGACCGCAGATGCCAACGGGCTCTTTTAAAGTTATAGACATAACTTCACCGTCTACAAATAAAAAATATTATAGTAAAAACATATTAGCACAAAAAAATACAACTTTTAGTAATAAAACTGTTTTACGTTAGTCAATTGTTATTAAAATAATAATCACTTCTAAAATAACAAGTTGCATCACAAGTATAAGATACAATTCTTCTGGCTTAGTTTACATACCGGCTGGTATAGTGTGCCCCAAGATCTTATCCGCTTTCCCTGCGTAATATCTAATGATATTAGCCGACCATAGCACTTCTCCTTCAGCTTGTTTAACAGGTTTCCCACAGTCTAGGGTTTCTAAGTTAGCCAGGTACTTGTAATCTCTGTCCATTAGATCTGCCAGTTTAAGAAGTAACCGGCCTCTTTGTGAGGCGTCCATTGTACGCCATTCCGAGTACCGGTGGAATGCTTTGCTAGCTGCTTCTACTGCTAAATCTACATCAGCCTGATAGAAACATTTTAAAGGATTAATACCTGAAGATATGTAACGTTTCTATTTGGCGTCAAAAAATGATCAATATAGTTTAGAGTTCATCCTAACCTATAGATTGGGACATAATTTTTTAGCATTGTTGTACACAATTACCTTATCCCCTTCAGCAACTTGCGCGATGACTTTCTCATCCTGAGGATTGATAGTTGGGAATGTTTTCTTGCTCACTGCGTCCACCCATTGGTTGTTGATAAACAACTATAATGTTCAACGATAATTAGAAAGTAGTAAAACAACATAAGTCACGATAGATCTTTGATTATCTACCTTTAAATTGTGAACATTTGGATGAATCTCAGATGTCGCATACATGTGACTTTTCCTTGAATGGTTCAGATAATTTAAATTCTTCAAAACTTTGATCGTACGCCTATTTAATTGCGTTAATATATTCCGGTAACCAGAATAGGTTATAATTGACATCTTTACACCTTGACACACGAAAATGTTTATATTTCTATCAACCAATGCGAATATTTGCGTTTAACGGAATACGTTTTAAAAAGCTGAGATAACAATCTTCGTCGTATTCATTGTTGTTTATTGAGTGCGTAGAGAACAATACACTATTTACGATAGCAAAATTGCAATAAACAATTGTATACACAATTGCTTGTAAGAAATGTTCTTTAGAACCAGCATCTAACTCTAAAGTTACAGCGAGAAGTTATTTATTACTTTAATCGTATAAAGGGAAACATATTGTTGTTATACATGAGAAGTTTACATAGGATAAATTTAACATAAAATAACTTACCTTGGTATATCTGATCTCTACCTTCATTTTTTTAATCCTTTAATGTGGACACCGATACACAATTATGAGAACTTGTTTTAAGTAATTTTATCGTGTATCAAAACTTAATATTATTCCGACTAAACGATGATTACTGGGATCGTTAGATTGTACTGACGTTTCCAGTTGGCGACATCCGACCTATATATGGATGCTAGATACTAGATTATATCCTTATCTTTGACACTTGTGATCTAGGCATAGGTAACTAGGTACTTATAATATAAGTTGATTATGATTTACACAATATTTGTATTGCCTGCCAGCTTCGCTTTGCTTCGCCTACCGATAGATGTGACTAACAATTTACACAAATGAAATACGAGTACAACTTAGGATAAACAAAGTTTTTTTTGATAGATGAGGATGAAAACAAATTGTCATCCATGTTATTCTCTTTGTAATAATGTTTCGTGATATTCTGATTGTTGTTTTGAACTAGGTTTGGATCCAGCTCGACCGTTAGTGAGTGAGTTCGGTTCCCGACGGTTCCGTCTGACCCGGGAAGACGCGCATGTGGTCCACGTGCTGCACACCAATGCCGGCTTCCTGGGGGAGAGCGGCCCCGTAGGGCACGCTGACTTCTGCATCAATGGCGGGCAGAGGCAGCCCGGGTGCAAGGGACATCTCATGCGTGAGTATCATAGATAGCTTATACAAGCAGCTAATTGACAAAGAAAGTTAATTAAATAACAATTAATTGAAAATAATGGAGGCCCGAAATATGTACGCACAATTTGCTTGAATAAAAATCAGCACAAACTGATTCAATAAAAATAAAAGGTGTTTTTGTCTGATTTTATCTAGATCAATTTTCGGGCCTACCAGCTCCTTTTCTCGCGCCAATTTGTTTAGATGTTTTTTGAACGCAGTATAATTTTCTTTTTATAATCTTTAGTAAATATTTCTGTTTATTGCTAATACCCAAAATGCCTTCAAACGCTGTAAATTATTAGTATATATTATAAAATATATTTAGCATTAGGTACTTTGTTAAATTGAGGATATAGACGCTTCAACAGTTTAAATTGAATCAATAAAGCCCAATTAAAGTGTTCAATGTCTGTATAGAATATGCAACTAAGTGTACTAGGATCTCCGCAATCTACAGTAGTAACCAATTTGGTTATTCCAGACATGAACTTTTTTATTTATCTTTGTTTATTTTAAATACGTTATCGGATGAGTATTAATAAAAACAATAATTTATTATTTACTTAATAATTCGTCAATGACCCTATTGTCATTTAACTTATCTTTAATATTCTTCAGAGAATATATCATATAGTTATTGTTCGTTTCTTCAAAACAATGATTATTTTAATTATTATTGGCAAAACATAATCTTAATTACAAGATGGAAACGACACTAAAAATTTTGAAAGTTATCAACAATTTTAAAATAGTTGATGCATGATTTAACTAATTTAATCTGGCAATGCATTTTAAAAAAATCTTTCAAAATATTTCATACATTTTTAAATAGGAGTAAATCGAAGCATGCGGTATGTCGTATGCAAATCTTATAAATAACCAATAATTCCATTACTTGCAAATGGATTGTGTCTTTAGTATTATATACATGTTCGTAGGTATATCCCGATGCAGTCACTTTATGAGTTCGTGTTACTTCGCGGCGAGCGTGCGTCGCCGTCTGCACATAGACGCTATACCCTGCGACAGTTCGTGTCCTAAACAGGGCCGTTGGGGACTGCGTATGGACAGGAGATCAGTGTTGTTAGGCAACGACATACCCGATACGTAAGTGTACGCTAATTTAAGCCTACCCAGGATAACGTAAGGATCCATACATCCATTTTTCGTTATACTAAATTTATATTATTCGTCCCGAACATAAATCCTCTTTAACATTAAAGCTGAGATCTTTAGAGTTCTAGACAATTTAAATTAATGGTAAATTAATTATTTCATTTTACCGTTTCAGGGCTCGAGGAATGTATTGTGCGCAAGTAGACAATGAAGAGAATTGTCCTTTCGATTAATCAAAACAAAGATTTATTATTGACAGTACAAATATACAAATATCTATTAATTACAAAAATAATTAAGTTAAGGGTTTAATTTATGTCGATATTTTTAGAAATAAAATGTCATTTTCATGTTTTATTTAATTCCTTTTTTTATTTTAAGTGAACACTTATGACACACCAATCCTTGTGTGCGATGTTTCGTTTCTCGGTGTAAACGTGACCGATACAACTGTGCAGGAGAAGTTACACTCGTCGCTGTAGAAGACTGACTTGAACGTCATGTCGCCGTACAAAAACATGCCCCCGTAGTACTTCTGAGCAACACTCTCTATATCTATATTAAAAGTATAGTGTCCCTGTGGAACAAAGAGAAGATAGGTGAAAGAAATATAAAACTCTATCTCATCTACTGACTACTAGTGAATTTGTTAACATACAATCGGTTCTTATTTAGTTCGATTGTAAACTGACGAAATTTACAATCATTCAATGTAACCTGAATGGCAAATTAATTGTTCAAGGAGATCACTAGTAGGTATAAAGTTCTCGTCCATAATGATAATTTCTATTCTTATACTGTTTCTTAGTTAAAGTATAGACCGAGCTGCGTGCGTCATAGTTCCTGACTATGAAGTGGGTGCCTCAACGACTCAACGATAACAATGGTTTTTCCTACTTAACTAGTAAATGTGATCGTTAGATAGCGACAAATTTAACATTTAACATTGTTGTGATAACATTGTATGGACTATTATTACATAGCATTTCTGCAATTGTGCAGTTAGATAAGAAGAAAATTAGGATTCGTATCTTTCTTCTATTGATGTTTTTGGATTTCGGTATGAATTTTAACATGAAAATTTAACTACGCTATTTTACCTTGTAATAGTTATGAATAACGATAAAATAGAAAGCATTATACTGTTTAAAGCGTTTTTATGTTTATAGCCAAAGAAACCAAATAATGAATATCCTTGTGGTACTAAATAATAACAAAATTACTTTTATGAAAACACATTCTTGTGTTACATTCAGTATCGACTGGAACAAGGGGCCCATAAACAAATGATCACAGGGTTTCTTCATTTGTAGCCTCACTAACTGCTTGCCATTCGCACTCGCTACAATCTTGCCCTGCAATAAATGAACATATTATATGTTTATGAGGCACTCATTCTTCAAATGATAGCTAATGAAGTATCTTGTAGGTTTAGTATGATAAATTGCTAGGCATTTATAAACACATCTTCACACACGTTTATTAAATCGTTAAATAATTTACTGTGGTAGAAAATAGCTAGGGGACGAGCAGCATGTATTCTACTATATCCCTAATGCCCATTCTTCTACATCGTACCAATGCCACGTTTAAGCAAGTGTATTTTTTAACTCTTTGAAACAAATGAAAGGTTACTCGAATTGGATTGAATTTATTTAAATACAAATCTCACCCTATTTGGTGTAACATCTTCTTTTATTTCAATATCGTAGTATAAGTTGACCCCATTTTCCATCCTCGCTTTTATTATACAGCAATCTTTGTGCTTTGGGCCTTTGCATGTTACCAAGTTAGTCACTTTTAATGTAAACAAACCCTGGAAGAATTTAGATATCAATGATTTTCTTTTGTTTATTGATTTTAATGTTACATTTTACAGCTTAGTTATGGTACTCCAAACGATGTGTCGAAGTGTATTTTTGACCGACTTCCCAAAAGAAGGAGGTACTCAATTCGTCTGTACGTTTTTTTTATTTTTTTATTTATAACTTTTTAAGAGAAATCCTTGATGTTGCAATTTTCCGACTCTTTACGATCTGGCTAGGTAAATTGTAAATGGGAGACATTCACTATTGGTCGGTTACATATGGATTTCAGTACGAAATTTAAGTATTTAAAGAATTGACTTACATAATTTTCAGCGGCTACGTTTACAAAGAGTAGGCCGCAAAATACAAGTTTGTACATCGTTGAGTGGTGTTCGCAATAAAACTAGATAAATATACAGCAGTATTTAGTGGCAATAAATTTGCATTAAGTATAGCTATTTAGTTTATCTGGACAATCTGATAGGCATCTAATGTGTAACTGATCATATGAAATTGCTTTAATTTCAAAAACTGATTCATTATAATAATACGTTTTTTTATGATGTATCAAGTTTTTTTTTTATTTTTCCGTGACTTACCTTAAAATTTTAAATTCGTATGAATTGCTCTGTAATTAATTTCATCAATGCGTATTGTGAATCACGGCGATTAAAGCAAATAGCAAAGAACTATTAACAGTAAGCGACAAAAAATAAGAAGCAAACTTGATGTTAGAAAGATGTAACTTGTAAGATTTTAGTCCTATTAGTCGAGACATTTCTCTCCTGCGGTAGATGTCGCTGCTGAGCTTAACTAACCTTTCCACCGACAAATTATAATTTAACCTTATTTTTAGCAACATAATATCAATTTATAAACGTAGTTAATTTTGTCAACGTCTCAATGACAGATAAATTGACAGCCAGGAAAATATTTTAGATAAACAATTTACAACTCGACTCGATTCGACAAAAATGTACAATACAATTTTAGAATTGCTTTATAAATTTCGATTTTAGATTTAATTAAATGTAATGTTTCAACTCAATGCTAAAAACATTAGTATAGTTTTTAAATTCTTGAGTCTGGGTGTTGTTATAATGGCTGCAGTTTTCTGGACCGGTGCGGAAGTGGAGACCAGGTCGAAGGATAACGACGAGCAGACAATGATCGGTGGCGCCATCTGGACACAAATCGTGCTTACTATCGGCCTTATTATATCAACGGTTGTTGACGATCACATACAACCTTTCGTTGAGGGGTACTTTTTGCTGTCCGCGATGGCTCTTCTAATCGTGACAGGACTAATATTGGTTAGTTATGCAAATGAAATTACAATTACCTTGTAACGAACGTAGGCATTTACTTAATTCAATCTTTTA